CGGAGCTAGGATAGAAAGACATGCAGTCCTAAACTGGAACCATTTGACTATTTTATAAGTTCCTTAAGTCTATATTCATTTCCCTAATTTTCAACTGTTGTTTTCTGTAGTCTGGTATTCCTGACCCGCCCCGCATGTCCAAAGCTATGGTGGAGCAAAAGCAGAAGGAACGAAAATTTCTGGAGCAACTTTTGGACGGTAAAAAGGTGGAGAATTACACTATTCCTGTTCCTATCAAAGCTGAGCTGAGAAAATATCAACAGGTAGGGTGCTACAGGAAAACAGCGGAAAGAAAGCCTTTATTCATGTTGGAATTATAAACTAATGGCCTCTGTTTCAAATGATGTACTGAACGGTGTGCGACGAGGGTAGCTTTTCTCCTATCGAAGGTAGCACACAGTCTGCCGAAAGCTCACTATCACTTACAGATTTGTAGGGTGAGGGAACAGTTGGCATAAAGTGCAATTTAAACTGCAGCATTTAGAAAACGTAACTATTTGATTTCATTAAAGCCGAGAAAAGTCTACCAAAACTCAGTGTTGTCGGGTATCTTGTTGGGAATGCTCATATTTTTTTTCAGTGTGAAGAATAATGGGCATTGCTAGTGTCATCTGTTTGAGTTTCTTCTACTTTGTTCATATTTAGGATGGTGTCAACTGGCTGGCCTTTCTCAACCGTTACAAGCTGCATGGTATTCTATGCGATGGTATCCTTCGTTACTTTTCCTTTAAAAACTTCGGCCCAAATTATTCGCATACATAATTGACTCATTTTCATGTCACTATAAATTGCGTTCCAAGACCTCCTAATGATTGCAGGGTGCTGGAGGAGTTGAGTAAAGAACAGCACAGTTGAGTTCAGTTAAATTCGATAAATCGGAATAGCTCCGTCTGTTTTTTTGGATTCGATTTGTATCTTAACAGTGAGATCAGACATGGGACTTGGTAAAACTCTTCAGTCTATTTGTATCATAGCAGGTGATCACCATGAAAAAGCTACAGTATACAAGGTACAGTATTCGACACCCAGGCAACGGATCCAGTCTGGATAAAGATTGAAGTTGTCTTTTCCTTCTGGTTTCCTTATTAAGGAGTGACAAGAGATTATCTTTATTCTGGCAAAATGTAACAATAACCAAGTCAAAAAGTTCTGCTCTAGGTTGATTTTGCAAATGATCAGGAATTCCAAAAAAAAAAAAGAGAAACAAAACAAAACAAAACAAAACAGAGGAAAGAGTACTGTATTAAAATGTTCGTTCCATGTTTGCCGTGATTATTCAGATAAAGTCCTCTACGTTC